TGTCCATCTCACTGAATTTCCTGCCTCCACATTGTACACTTCTTGTCTGGTTAATGATGGCTTGGACAGACAGCTGAGCGAGCGAGCTCTTTGCTACGCATCTCGTGTTCACAACTCCTATGCGTGGTCCCTCCCCTGCACTACTCGCCGGTCCTCCCGGCAGCCCCACGAGATAGGCTTGATTATTTCTGCCCCCATTTCACAGATGGGCCCTCGGAGAAATTGGGGGTTCACTCAAGGACCCTGGCATGGTGACTCATGGCAGGTGTGTGGGCCCAGGTCGGTGGCGCCCAGAGCCCAGAGTTCAAGGCTGGTGGCCTGAGTGCCCTGCAGGCCCCAGAGCTCAGCCTTGTGAGCCCAGGGGGCATAAAACCCCACCCCACGTCCCCCCAAAGGCTGCGGTGAACCCCTCCTCGCCATCTGCAGGGCTTTCCCCGGGCTGCTCTTGGCGGAGCCCCAGGGCGAGGACTAAGGGGAGGCGGCAGCCCATGGGCCAGTCGTGGGGCTTTGCGAAGGCACCTTTGAGTTTGCAAAGTCCTTGCAGCACTGGGTGCCTGAGGTCTCACGCTGGGAACTGGAGCTGCGTGCAGATCAGTCGCAGCGACACGCTCTGCACCCACTCGTCATCACCCCTCCTCTGTGGAGCTGATCGCCTGCTCGTGAACGCTGACCTGGCCGCAGTGCCCAGGCTCTGGGCCCCCAGGCCGCCCCGGCTCCCCGGATCTGGGCCGCTGCTGTGCTGATTCCCTGGTACCCCCAAAAAGCCACCAGCCACAGCAGGAAACGGAGACTTCCGACACCTCCCCAGGATTCCAGGGTTTGGCCCAGACATTCCCTAGTCCAGAGGAGCAACTCCCAAGATGAGGTGGGCACGAAGGTTTGGGGGCAACCTTGATTCTAGAACTTTCTCTACTAATTTACAGCCTCCCCCAGCGCTTTTCTTCAACGCCTATCAGCTAAGCCCTTAAAAGAGTCAAGGGCTGGAAGAACGCTAGAAATTTAATGTATGTTAAAAGGGTATTAAATTCTAAAGTAAAATTTACATGGAAATATGACATTAAAATATTTTTAGCTTTCAGGAAGCTGGGGGCTGGAATGCTATAATATAGACAAATTTTATCATTTTAGAAAGAATTAGCTTCACAGTATTTCTTATGTATTCACAGAGTTAATGCATAAAGATGTTCTGAACCCTGCCTGGGGCTACGGGGCTGTGGCAGGCGTGCACCTGTGAGAGAAAGCTGATGGTGGGGCCCTGGAGGGAGGGCGCAGGCCCCCAGCTGGATCCTGGGCTCCCCTGGGGGGGCTAGGGCGGCCCCCTGAGCCCTGAGGTCCTGCCAGCAGGGAGAGGCCTCGGCCTGTGTGTTCCCAGGGAGGATGTGACTGGGCATCCTTGTCTCCATGGCTACCTGTTACTGATCCCCTACTGTGCGCGGGCCCATGACTTCATCTTATTTACTCCTCCTGCAACTCAGTGAGGGAGGTGGGGTTTTGTCCCAGTTGAGCAGATGAGAAATGGCTCAGAGAGGTTGAGTCGTGGGTCCAAGGTCACACAGCAGGGGGGCAGATTTTCATTCCTTCTACAGATTCTCAGCTCAGTCTTGAGACTCTTTGACGCTTCACCACCTGGCTGCCCTCCCAGCGCCCCTGGGTCCCAGCCCTGGCCTGCCCCCACTCGCCCTGGAGCTCTGGCCCTCATCTCTCCCAGGCCCTCCGTCCCAGCCGGCCTTCCCGGCCAGGTGAGGGGCCTGGAGGACACCATTCCCTGGGTTCCCGCTCACCGCAGCCCGAGCACCTAGAACAGACCCTCCCAGAGAGTGTGCCAGACCCTTGTGGGGTGAAGGGCTGACTTTAGGTAGAGCAAGCGCTCTCTGCCACCACCCCCATGCCAGGCCCTGGGCAGGGGCTGGGCACCCAAATATAACATACCTGCCCCCCAGCCCCCAGTGGTGGGTTTGCCCCTCGGAAGTCTGTGGCTGAGCCTTTCCTGGAAGGGACACGGGAGGGCGTGAAGAGTGTGCTGGAAGGTGGGACTGGCTGTGTCTGCCACAGTGAGGTGTGTGCTGGCTCCAGGGCGGAACCCCAGGCCTCATGGGGATCCTTTATCCTTACCCCGGTGCCTTCCCTGCCTGTCTCCAGGGCCAGGGATCTGCTACAGGAGGGTGGAGGGTGGGCACATGTGACCAGACTGAGCTCATAGATCCCCGACCGATGAAGGGAGGCTTGGCCCTTTCTGCTCCCTGCCATAGATGGGGCTGTCTGGCCCAGCTCAGGGGTCTTCAGGAGCAAAAGAACTAGGAGGGGGGACCCTCAGGCCGGAACCCAGGGGCCCTAAGCCAGCTGCCGCTCCTCCAGCTTACCTCTGCTCCAGGCAGCACCAGAGCAGGGAGCCAGAGCGACTCCTCCACCTGCCAGCTCTGTGACCGTGACCCAGCCCATCCGCAAAGCCCAATGGCCAGAGGTCAGGGTGGCGGACGGGCCTGGTGCTTGGTGGCCTGTTTCTTCCCTGTCCCAGACGTCCAGGGACCCCGGAGTGGGAGCTAAGCACAGCGCCAGCCCCAGCTGTGCCCCTGAATCCTCACCATGGAGGTGAGCTCTCCCACCAGCCCCACTTCACAGATGGGACAACTGAGGCTCCTGGAGATTAAAGGTGTACTCAGTCATCCGGCTAGACAAGGGCAGGGCTGGGTGACTTCAGGCCATGGCTGTGTCCCCGTGGCCGCGAGGAGGCCCCCAGCCCCTCTGCACTCGGACAGCAAAGAGCCCCGCAGGCAGCCTGGGGTGTGAAGTGAGGAGAGTGGCTCAGACGGCAGCAGCTCTGGTCCCAGGAGGAGCCCCGCCAGGGCAGGGGGGCCACGGTGGCGGAAATGACCGTTCGCCTGGCAGGCACCTCTGGGAGGTCACTCATTGGCAGTTAAAAATCTATTGTGACTTGTCAGAAAAATGAATAAATGGGCACATTATTTTTTCATTCCAGACCTCAGCATCTGTTTGTCTAATCAGGGAGGAGAGTGGGAAGTCGGTGAGGGCTGCCGTGCGTTTTATGTAAGTTTTCCTCTGTCACAGGAGTTTAAATGGGTAATGAACAGGCCGCGGTGATTTGAAATATAATCCCATTACACTGACGAGATTACGGGGCTCCGAGACTTCACAAATCACTCTCAGGGCTTTCACAGCAAACACCACCCAATGGGGCTGCGCATTTAAGCGGAGGTGTGTGGTGGGTACACAACGAGGCAGGCTTAACCCTTCCCTCTCCGTGGCTGCTTCCCACGTACAGGGTCCTCCCAGCGGTGCCTCGGTGGGGCCTTCAGGATCTAGGGCGTTAGGGCCACCGGGGACAGCTGTGTGGGAGGTGGGAGAGCTGACTTTGCCACTTCCCAGCTGCAGGGCTTCAGGCGAGGGGCTCTGCTCCTCTTTGCCTCAGTTGGCTCATCTGTAAAATGGGGTTTAGGTGGACAAGAGGATGGACGGAGAAAATGGTTAGTCAAACAGTAACTAGCCGCACTTGAGAGGCAGGGGCCAGCACTGATGCAGGACTAGCAAGTTACCACTGTCCCCCCCTTGAAGCAGGGGTCACCATGTGACTAATTCTGGCCAATGAACCATGAGTGGAAGTGGGAAGTGACATGTGTCACTTTTGAACCACAGTATGTCATTTTTGCTGCTCTTTCTCCAGCCCCCCCCCCCCCCCCCCGCCTCCCCCCCACCCTTTTT